CACTATCATATAGTCCCTCAGCTCCATTCCCTTGTCAGTGGCATGAAGACATGAAGATGCAGCCTGATCAGGTCACACTACTATAAACTGGGGCTCGTACCCTCAACACACTTCCCCATTACCAAAACTCATTCCCATGCAACCTCCAGCTTGTACAGTCAGACTGTCAGCACCATTCAGAGCTTTCCCAAGAGGAACAGGGAAAGGGAGGGGGAGGGGGAAGCAGGGGGTGATAGAGACTGCAAGTGAGGCACATGGGACGGGGAGTGGTGAAGAAACTGAAAAACAAGTTTAAAAAGAGCCCTGCAGCCCCTGAGAAGGGGAAGGGTCCACATGGAAAATCTTCAACTCGGAGGAAAAAAAATCCCTTTAAATAAAAACAGAGCTGCTGCCAAGAGCAATTGCTTTGAATGAGCCTGGATAGAGACAATTAGCTTTAGCACTACATGAGCAAAAGCCGGGGCGGCTGCTATACCACTGTTCCCCCCCCGCTTCGGTACTGTGGTTTGGGCTCCAGTCTGCTTGGCTGGTGCTACCTTGCTCAAGCTGGCATCAGTTCCAGTGTCGGTGGCAGCTACAGCCTTGTCTTAGCCATGGTGGAGCGGAGTTGCAGCGTTCCTTCAGCCCAGGATCCAGGGTACTGGCGCATCTTCTGCCACAGGCTCACCTCTTCCCCTGTGGAGTCCATCCAGTCCACCACCTGGCCATTACTCATGCCTGAGAGAAGAGGCAGCAGACACTAGTTTCTGCAAGGGACAGCCGCATTTCCAAGCCCACAGTGTGCCCCCTCAGCTCAACAGAACAGCCTGCTCTGGCCACAGGAGGGGGTGCTGGAACTGGCCAGTGACTGCAGCACTGAGAGGAAGCAGTTCCCAAGGGATTTCCAAACAGTATGGGTGCCAAGTACAAAAAGGAAGAGGAAAAGACAAAGCAGGAGGAGACCCACGTAATAGGGCCAGGTTACAGAGGTCGCAGAGCTGATCTGCCAGTAACAACCTGCATAAGGGGCAGGAGACAGCCACACAAGCAGCAGCGATGTGTAGGGGATGCAACGGGAGTGCTGGTGCACCCTGTCAGGCCACGCTCCCCATTTAGGCAACAGGCAGGGTGGCAGGCTTAAGTGCCACTGCCCCCCCTGCAAGCACCAGCCAGGAAGAGGGGCCCCCAGCAAAAGTGACTGTGCCACTTCCAGAAGTGGCTGCAGGACTTCTGTAAGCAGCGTGGCCGCTTTTTTGGCGAGTGAGATCGGCTGCGGGGAACCCCCCAACGCTCGCTTACTCAAGAGGCACCAGTCACCCATGCACACAGGGATTGGGACCACAGAACTCACCATTCCCAATTCCAAGTCTGACTCCTCCCAGGAAGTCATTGCTGGCCAATGGCTCACGGTCCCAGACAGTCAACTCCAGACAGATGTGCTGCAAGTCCTCTGGGTTGATGCGATTGTACACAAAGGTGTGGTTGTAGTGAGGGTTCAAGGTCTTCTTTGCTACAGGTGTCTTCCTCTTGGTGCCCTTGTTTCGGTGTGGCAGCAGGTAGCTGTGGGAAGAGGTCCTTACTGTCAGTAATCCCCACAGACAAAATGCTCTTAAAACTGCAGACGTGGGCGAGTTAGACTTTTGTGCAGTGTTACACAAGCTTTATCACATTGCATGGCAGGGAAGACTGCAGCTAAAACATGAGGCTTGAGCACATCACCAAGCAGAGGATGGCACCTTGAGGGGACTTTGAAACAGAATGGGGAAGACAGACCAGGGTGGCTCAGGATACTGTAATAGGCTGTGGGGGCTCCTTTGAAACTAAGCCACTCCCCTTTCCACAGCAGGTATCAGGTCTTCTCAATATCTGTAGTGTGCCCAAGTGTGACAGAACTTCAGTTCCAAGTGGAGCCAAGTATGCAGAGTCCTGGGCAGCAACAGTGTGAATGGCCAGACAAAATTACTGGTTAGTTCTGTGATCTCAGGGAAGACATTTTCATTGCAACTCCCAACAGATGAGCCCATTCTGGGGTGTGGTTCCCTTGGCTTCTATCCAGGTCAGCAAGAAGAATGAACTTCCCCTCTTCCCTTCTGGAATGACCCGTCCCTGGCTGGCACTTGCAGGAATCTGACAGAGCTGCTGACCTTGCTGGGTGCAGCTTCTGGACAAACTGAAGACTCAAGAAGCACTGAATACCTACAGCTCTACCTAGAGCCCATGGAAGTGAGCTAGGGCAGACATGTCACTTCAGTGCACAAAAGGTGGTGGTCAGAGCATAGGTCTGTCAGGGTGACCACACAGCCCTTTCCCGAGCCCAGGCCAGAGGAGAACGGACCTATTTTCCTAGACCTGAGCTGCTCCTCCCCCAAACAATATCCAGGTTGTGGTACCTGGAGGAAGTTGCCTTTGTGTTTAGGTCACTTATAGCCTCCCTCCAGTTCCCCAGTGCTTAGCATAGTACTAGTACTCACCCTTTGACAAAGCTATCAGAGGTCCCACCAGATTTAGCAGCTGTCAAGTTCTTGGCTTCCTTGATCCAGACTTGAAGTTCTCCCCCTTCCTCCCATTTGCCTGGAAGAGAAAAATCACACAGTCCAAATGTGCAGTTTCAAGAAACTGCACATTTTCAACCAGTTTCTCCCCAAAACACACCTACAGAAGGGCAAAGCCTGGCCTACACTATTCTTCTCTGTAAGAGACCCAGGTCCCAGCATGAGACATTCCATCTGCCTCTGGAACCACTAACCAGTGTGCCATGCTGAGGCCTGGTCTTAGAGGAACTAATCTACATTTCAAGACTGGCAATGCAGCATTCTGCAGGGAAGAGATTCGATAACCCTGTTCTATTTGATGCCAAAGCTTTGCTGCAGTCAGAAGTCCATTACTGATTATTCCATGTCTAGACAGAAAGGAAAATATAAACTACAGCAATGCCAGTACAGCCAGTGGCTTACATTCCAGGCACCATTTTCTTGCTAGAGCTGCTTGGCTGAGCAACTGCTTAGGTTCCTCCACACAAGTGTGGATAGTTCAATGTTTCTGAAGGAATGCTGTGCGTCTGCATACTGGAATTCCACAATGGAGAACAGTTTACATAGCATCTGTGCCACGCTGTTTTGGGGGGTTTTTTGATGCATTACATTAACAGCTTAGTTTTAGAGCTCAGACAGATACTCACCCTTTCTGCTAGTGCTTGCTCCCAAGTGTTTGGCAGATGGGATGTATTTCATGGAAACAACCAGCTCACCTTTATACTGTGGGGAACTGGAGTCAGCACCAGCCTGGAAGATGGGTAAGTCGGGTCACTCAACATTTACTAGGGAAGGATAATGCTAAGTAACATGCACTAAAGAAAGGCTGTCCAACTTGTAAGTGACTGGGGCTGCACAGGCCAGGGCCCTCAACAGTATAAACTGAGGGCCCAACAGGGCCACCGCCATGTGGGCAGCCCCCCTCTCTGATGTGCATGGGAAGCCCCCCCCCCACTGCTACACTGGGCAGGATGGGCAGTGCCCTCCCATAGCTCACCAGCTGTGAGCTCCCCCATCAATGCAAGCTGGACCACTCTGCCTAAACATGTGGGGAGCCACAGGAAGCAGAAGCTGAAGGAGGGAGTGGAAACCTGGAGACCCCAGCTGCAGGAGCAGCCAGAAGAACAGGGAGTGGCAGCCTAGTAGGAGTATGGAGGCTGCGGATTAAGCCCTCATGGGCTGCATGCAGCCCCTAGGCCACCAGTTAAACATCCTTTAGTGTAAGGCTGCCCAAGAGTTCATTAAGTACAACTGTGCTGAGTCAGGGCACGGCCTAACAAGTATACAGGCTAAGTGTCTGGGCTGCTTCCTGCTCATAAAACATTCTAGCAGGCTGGCCGACATGAATGGTTTGACTCATCATAAATTGGCGTGCATGCTCCTATCCTAAACTGAAACTACTTCTATAGTTTCATTCAGGGGTTTGCTGCCCTGATCTTAAAATTTTCACTAGCTGCAGGATAGGAACAGACCTATAAAAACACCAGATTCAGCTACATCACAGCAGGCTCTTGCCTCCTTCTGAAGTGGTATAAATGAGGAGCAAACAAACCTGGTTCTACTGTATTTGGCTCAGAGATAGTACCTGCTCAAGTGGCAAGACCCCAGGAACATATTTTGGTTAAAACTTCATCCATTTGGGAAAGAGATTCAGTGAAGCCAGCACAAAGTAGGACCTAACCTGGTCTTACTACACATGCTACCGCCACCCAAACATTCTCTTGGGTGTGGAAGTTGCCAGAAGTCCCCTAACAGCAAGAAGCCTCCAGCTCCAGAAGAACAACTGCAGACAGCCAGGGGCTTTGCTTCTACTGCCTGTGCAAACATGAGTTTGCAGTGAAAATGAGAGCAGCCTTTCCATCATCATTCCATGCACCTGGGCTAGATCCAAGTAGTTTCTATGGAACTGTCTCCCATTTAACTGGGTTGAATCGGACTCTTCACTACTGGAACATTTCATAGGGAAATGCTCCTATCCTGGAGCTCCTCTGGAATGGTGAATTTCTGAACGATGATGCCCAAGCAAGGACACTTTACAGTGGCAGAAACACTCATTGTGTTGGCACAGGAGTTGGGGCGAGGGGGAGGGTAGACAAACACTAAGCAGGACTGAGAAAGCCAACTGGTTTATCAAGTCCAGATCTCTGAAGGTTGGTCTTCAAGACCAGGATCCTACTGTGACACACTTGGAAGTTGACAAGTTCCCATTATCCCCTGCTAGCAAGGTTCTTTTCCATATGCGTGAATGGCTTGAAGCACAAGTGATTTGTCCAACCATAGCACAAGACCTCAGCCCTCTGCATTCTGTTTTGGGTCCTAGTCATTTAGCAGTGACTGGAAAGGAGAAATGAAGGAAAGGCAGTACCTCCTATCCAGAAGCACTGGCCAAACAAGGCAAGAGCACTGGCTGTGGGGAGCACTTCCTTGTTGGGGGTGCTGGAGGAATGGGAGGCACAGGAGATTACTTGGGCATGCAGATGCATCCATACCTTGCCATGCAGGGGGAGACACTCTTCCAAGTGGCTCTCAAAGTTCCAGGAATTCATTGGGATCTCCACTTCCCCCAGGAAGGTGTTTCGGCCAAAGCGATCATGGTGCCAGACTGAGAACTGCAAGGTCCTTCCGAGGAGGAGGGACTTGTTAATCTCATACTGTGAAAAGGTAAGAATAGACACAGGAAAGCAGGTGATGACTTCCGGGGCAGCTACAACCATTCCTGATGCTATCAACATTAAAAAGATGCCATAGTTGGCAACAAAGCTTTCCACCCCCCTCCTGGGATGCTACATGGTACATACGGGTATTGCAGCCTTCTGCTGTGAGGAGGATGCCAAGCTAAGCTACCCAACTGCACTCCAGGAGTCCAGCCTCACAGACCCAGCACATACTTTTCAACAACAGCAAGGGTGAGACTGCAGCTCAGTGGGAGAAAAGCAATTTGGGTCCAGGTAGGAAGCTCTGAGTTTTCAATGAATCCAATACTGACATTAAGATGCAAGGTTAAAACACCTGCTCCACGCTGACCCAGACACCCGTGCTTTCTGTGTGGGAGCTAGTGGGTAGAGAAGCTCCCTCACCCCAAACCCAGTCAGTCACCGTGCCAGGAAGCCCCAGACTCCTTTAAAGGGGCTTCCCACTAGGAAAGAAGTCTGCATACTGGCAAGAACTTTGCTTACTCAATGTTTGTGCACAAAGTCTTGACCTCAGGTAGTCACAATGCAACAGAAGTGGAAGCCACGGGAAGCCTCTGCACTTCCTAGGACCATTTCCTTTCTGGATTTCCAAGCCAGAGCCAGTTCTCTCTGCTGCTAGCATTTGGGGATGGGGAGCATCCATCCCTTCCCAGCCCCCGCTGCCTTTTCTGCATCACATCAGCTGCAGTAGGGACTGAATGGAGTGTGCAGTGGCAGCAGGGAGGGGCTCATTGGAAAAGAGTTTTTCAGGGACAGGAGGCAGTTCTGAAATGTATCCCCGCCTTCAACAATGGCACGAGGCACCTAGAGGAAGCCAGAGTATGAAAACAGAGGCCTGGGCTGGGAGGTCGTGAGCAACAGGCACAGCTTCAGGCTCTGACAGTGTACATCCATATTGCTATGGCAACAGGAGCAATAAAACCACAATGCCTATAGCAGGATGGACTTGCTGAGATTTTTTCCCCCCCAGTTGTCCCTGTCCCAGTTCCAGGCCTCTGAGAATAGAACTTTCTACAGGATCTTCACACTATAACCAGAGCACTACACAGAAGGTCAGCACCAGCAGCTCCCTTCCCACAGCTCCCTCTAGGACTGTTTTAACTCCCCCCTGAAATGAAAGGATCCAGTGAGTGAGCAAAGGGACCCAGGGGATGGATGCCTCAAGAGGCAGTGGGGCCAAGAGAAGTTTTCCCTCATTGCATCTCAATCTGGACCATGCAGCTGCCTCATCCTGTGAGCTTTTGACCAAGTTCTCCAGAGCATGCAGAAGACAATACACCCCCAGTCCCACCTGCTCACCTTGAGGTATTCATTGTACAGGGGATTCACAGTGTTGCGTTTGATGGTTGTCTTGCGCTTGCCTTGCCGGGATTTGTCAGGCAGGAGGTAAGTCTTCACATAGCTGAAGGGGAAGAGTAGGCAGTGAACCCCATGTCCTAGGGTTCTTCCTCCAGGACTAATACGTTGCCCCTGCTTCTGCCCACCTGACACAAAGCCGGCCTCCTTCCTCCACCATCCCCATCAGGCAGGAACACTGTTCAGCTCATGTTTCTTTTCCCAGGCTCATTCCTGTCCTGTGCCTGCCATACTGCACAGAGCCAGGCCCTGCACCCAGCCCCTGCATCAGGCAGCCCTCCCCAGCCCCAAGCCTGCTCTCTCAGGTCTCACGGATTGGAGCGCTTCTTGGCCTCATCAGCATAGGCCAACTGGCGACACTCCTTCACATTGATGAGAAGGGTCTGTGTCTGCAGCTCATAGCTCAGAGAGAAGGCGATTTCTCCTGTGACAGAGACACTGCCGAAGTCACCAGCCTCACTGTAAAGGCTAACCATGCTCCCCAGTGTGCTCTGAAAGACAGACATGGCAACCCTAAGCCACTGCCCAGGGCTGCTTCAGGCAGCAGTCTGCTCCCCTCTCACTTCCCCCATACCAACACCCCACCAGCAAACTGTTTCCAGCCTCCTCACTGCAGCAGATCCTAGCACTGAAGGATCTGCCCTGTCCCTCTTATCTCCATCTTATTTTCTTGCCCAAAGAAAGGACTTCTTCCCTGTTCCACAGTCAGTCTCCTGTTATAACAGAGTGCTTTTCACTCAAAAGGCCCTTAAAAGCTTCAGACACCCTTTCAAGTATTATGGGATGGAAGCAAAGCAATTCAAGTTTGAGTTACAAGTCACTGGAAGGGCTGGGCATGGCACATTGGGCTTTGAACACAAGAGTACTGCCTCCTTGCATGGAAGTATTTCTGCCTGCAGCCCTAAGAAGTGCAGGGCAGCAGGGCCTTGGAGACTCACCGAAGAAGTGCCACTGCGTATGCTGTTCCTGGCTGTCCTCCGGCGATGAATCTCAACCAGGTTGTCAATGTCTTCCTCCACCTCATCCTATAATAAGGGACAAAACCATCCAGACAAGTAGAAAAACACCAGTTCTTATGGAAGCAGCCACAGCCACTGAGGGTCTTTATCCAGTACACCTCATATCAGGGAAAATGCCTCTGTTTGGCAGGGAACAGGAGACAGAGAAGAGCAGATGATTAGAATACAAATTCTACCCTCATAGCCTCTGAAGTGAGAGCTTTACATGGCAACTCGAGAGAATTAAAGCCATTTCCAGCTTCACCTACAAGTCAATTCAGTTGCACACTGCAGTTCTGCTGGTTGAGATGGAAGGAGGCTGTAGAATAGGAGAGTGACTCCACTCCAGTCCCAGGGTCCACAGAGGATAGTAGAGTTCAGGGGACACTACCCTACTTTAAGCAAAACAGGTTGACCATACAGAGTGAGATGACCTCACCATTTCAGTGTTGAGACCTGGAACAGACTTGCTTCTATCTCCCAAAGAGCCAGTCTCACGTCCCATGTCCTCTGGACGCAGATCAATCACTGACTTGGTGTAGTCTGTGACGAAGACAGGAAAAGGAGAATACAGTCCACATGTCTCCCATCCAAAGGTCACAACATTTTGAGCTGGTCTTGTGCTCAATCAGTCACTGATACAGGCATGTTCCATAGCAGCACTGCTCCCTTTTTACAGAGGAAACTGAGCCAGAGGGGAAGAAGTATCCCAGTAAGCAGCAGAGGTAGGAATAGAAGCCAGATATCCAGGAAGAGAGCCCAACAGTACTAAGCCCCTCCTACTTTGAAAGATGCCTTACCTGCAGGCCTTAAAATCCTCCTGGGATTCTTCTTAAATATGGTTTCATTCTCATCTGCAGAAACTCCACTTTGGCTTTCCAAATGCACTTCCTAGGAAGGAACCCCCCCACCCCACCAGACTGTTCAGAGAGGAGGAATGTGGCTTTGCAGAGCTCCTGACCCCAGACCCTCCAAACAGGGGAACTCAACTGCTCTAGCAGGAGTAAACAGTGCATACATTTTCCAAGTCAGAGGGATGAGCATCTCTGGAGTGGATAGGGACTGTTAAAGTGGATACACTGGACCCTGCGGGTCCTGGGGTTTGCTTTCCCTCCTGGAGCGAGGCAGCTTTATCCAAAGAATTTCTCCTGCCAACAATACAAAGAAAAGTCAGTCTTGGTCTGTCTCTCTCTCTCTCTCTATATATATATATATATATATATAGCATGGGAGCTTCTTGCCAGGGGAGACAGGAAATGCTGCCTAGTGACCATGAAGTTATTGACTGAGTACTTCCTTCCCTCAACAGCACTGAAAACAGCCCTCAAGCAAGACTGCTTAGCTGTGATGCTTCAATGTTGCATGCTGGTCAGGTTAAGTGAAGGAGCTTAGGGCCCTTATCTACCCAGTTAGCTTTACTGCTGCAATGCGCGTCACAGACAGACTCGATGTACTTACTACTTAACAGCAGTGCTACTGCAAACAGCACAGAATACACCTTTGTCCTCCCATAGCAAGACTAGAACTCTAGGCCCCTCAGGGTGCCTTGGTGCTCTGCAGGCCCTAAGACACCAGCCAGTTCTGGACACAGAAGTAGCTTCCCAAGAACATTGGACATGAAGCAGAGGCTGGTTCATGGCTTGCTTTCAGACATACCCCAAGACTAGCTATTTCTGAAGAAATGAGCTTCTCTCCTACCTCAAACTGAATGGATTCTCTAAACTGCCATTTGAATAGGTGGAGGGAAGTATCAGCAGAGGAGACAACCCAGGAGCTGGGAAGAGGACATACGCAATCCCTCCCAGGGCACCATTTCTGAGCCAGTCTCAAGGGTCCTGGAACCTCACCAGCTTATTTCTTATACAAGTCCCATTGCCCTCTAACAATGACCTTCAGGCCTGACTACTGGCACTCCCCTGCTACAGCACAGGTACCAGATCTTCTAACCTGGAGCTGGCAGCCATGCCAGTGGAGCCAGGTCTGTACCCATCCAGGCTCATGTTTTCCATGGACTCCGTATCACTCTTTGCATCTCGTGGAACCGAGGCTTCAGAAGGCAAACTGAAGAGACAAGATTTATGTCTGTCAACTGGCAGGGAGGATCACTCATCTGCAGCACAAGAGGCAACCCCCACCAAGACACAGAAAGAGGGGGGCTGGGCTGCCAGCCAGTAGCTTATTAGTCACATCAGTGCTGCTCCCTCCCTCCCCAGGGTCTGGGGGAGGACACTAGATACTGACCACAGAGAGATTAAGGGGGCTCAAGCCACAGCTTATAAAACAGTAGATTTGCCATTAAAAAGCAATAGATACAATAAAATCCATCTGAATTGGCCACTATAATGATCACAAAAAGCTAGGTTGGTTTGGAGATCTGCTGAAGTCCTTGGGAAGGCTCCCCTGGAGGGATGAGGTGTGAGAGAAGTCAGTCACCAGTGACAAAGCTTAATGTTTAACAGTATCCAAGAGATCCCTGAAAGTGAGTATCAAGAAGCAGAGGCAGCTTCCAAAAGGCAGTATCTACTTCCAGCGCACCCCAGGTACCTTACAGATACACTCCCATAACTGAAGTCATTAGACTAAAACACATCTCCAATGGTTGATTCCTTCAGGGGCAGATCACAGCTGAGCTCCAAGCCATGTGATCAAGGGTCTCTTGTGAATGGGGTGGTATGAAGCTACTTCAAAGCAGGGAGAAATGACAGAGAAACGAGTCTATGGTTGCCTGGTTGTGCCTGCATCCCACATACCAAGGAAGGCAACACCAGTGGATGGGCCTGCCTGAAGGAACAGGGCTGAACCAATGGATAAAGTGTACCCCTTCTTCAATCCAAAGCTCTGCCAATCTTGGAGAAGATATTGGAGAAGACAAGTCAGGGCCAGGAAAGTCTGGAACTACAGCCTCCCATACCAGTGGTAAGGCAACCCAAAGCATCAAATTTTAAGCAAAGAAAAGAGCTTCTGCAGTCATGTGTTTGCTAAGGCTTAGGTTCTATTATTATTTCTAGTATCAGTCACCCCCCCCTGAATCAAAGCCAATGCTACCTTCTGCTACTGTCAAGGCTCTCTTCCCTGAAGACACTAGCCCTTATTATCCCACTGTACTGCTCCATGCACATGGAATGCAAGCTAAGCTGGGATGCAATTCCCAGGTACCAGGGAAACAAGAGGGTGGGAAAGCAGGTACATAGGAAAATTATTGAGCTGAAAAGTGCCCTCTCTCCCGGTTAGGAGAAACAGGGACTTTTGCAGAGCTGACATGGCCTCACCTTGGTCCCTTCCGTCTGTCCTGGGGACTCTTCTGCCGGGTGCCGGGGGAGTTCTTGGGATCAGCCCGCTGTGCCTGATGGAGAAGCGTTTGCCCCACAGTCTCCCTTTTGCTAGCTGAGAGAGAGAAGGAGGGACACCAGGCTGACCCCAAAGCTGCCTAGAGACCTCCCACATCCAAACCCATCATCACTCAGGAGCACCCAAACAAGAATCCCCCATTCAAAATTGGAGGGCCCTCAAAGGGTAAGAGAGGAGTCATTTGCAGGGTTACACTGCACAGCCTGTTACTCAGCCCACATTAATGCTCTCCAACATGGACCTCTCCCCTCACCAGCGTGACTGCACCTACCTGCAGGTTTGTGCCTAAGAGACAATCGCACTACGTCACTCCCTGGCCTGTTTGCAAAGCGATTGACCCTCTGGTCATAAAACCAGTCGCCAGTTGCCTTCTTCAGCTCTCTGCCAGGGGAAAGGGGAAGTTAGAGGCTGCTCTTACCATACACAAAGGTCAGCACTCTGCCCCATCACTCTACCAGCCCAAAAGGGAACATTTAGGCAGCAAAGTCAAGAAGCACAGAGACAAGATCCCAGTCCTATGAGGCTGACATGCTAGCTTACACAGCTTATGGACTCAACTGCCCCAGAGCCAAGAGGCCAGGGTCAGCCCCAGCAGAGTCAGCTAAAGTCACAGCCTTCATAGAGAGACTAGAATAAGCAGATTTTGGGTGCAAAAGCTGCATGAGACTCTCCCAAGGAGCTGCAGCAGAAGAAGCTGTGGGGCAAGCCACAGGAGAGAGAGGAGCAGTCACAAGGAAAAGGAGACATAGAGGGTAAGGCAGGGGAAAGGAGAAGTTTGCATCCTGCTTGTGAGGAGCAAGTGGGGGACACAAGCATGGTCTGGACAACATGGGACTATGAAGTCCAAGCCAAGGAAAGAAAGGAACAAGCCAAGACAGGACAGAGCCAAGACTCCTGGCAGAGGAAGTGGAGAAGGGCAGGTTCTAGAGACAGAGGAAGCCATGAGGACTTTGTTGCATACAGGAGGAAGAGGAGGAGGGGTGTCTGTCGTGGCACTGGGGTTACAAGCCTGGATGGCCACTGGTGAGGAGGGAATAGGCAAGGAGACAGCAGTGGTCAGGGCTCTGAAGTGCTCAGCACAGCCCCCTCACAGGCTCACACTCACGCCTCCTTGATGCAGACTTTGCAACGCCAGGTGCTGTTGATGCTGTAGGAGCGGCAGTCCCGACACACCAGGTGGTTGCAGCCACGGCAGGTATTGGCCTTGGGGCTCACTCGGCCCAGACTCTGCTGGCACCGGGCACAGGTCCGCTCGCTATAGCGCTGGCTACTCCTCTTGGCCCCTTTGCGCCGGATCTCCAGCAGCTCATTCTTCAGCCGCCTGCTCAAACCCAAAAGCCAGGAACAGTTAAAACTCAGAGAGAAAACCCCATGACACCAGTTGATACAACCTCTTCCTTGAAAACCAGCTTGAGCAAAGCTGTGCTGCCTACCCCATTCACCCTCACCCAGGAGGGTGGACACACAGCACATCATGCCCAGTTGCATGATTCCTGACCCACTCTACCTTGCCATTGTTGGCAAAACCTAACAGAGCAGGAACTGAAGGGGGAGACTGAAGGACAAGTTCTGCATCCCCTCCATGCTCTCACCTGATCCGCCTCTCTTCAGCTTTCCGCAGTTCCTCATCCCGTTGCAGGACCTGCAGGATCAAATCCCTCTCCGTGTCCAACAGGAAAGACAGGTCAACAGCCTCCGACATGGCTTCTCTGGAGCCGCCCACCCTTTTTTAAAGCAGGTGGCCTCCTCCAAGCTAGAAGCAAATGAGCAAGTTCATAAAGTCAAGTGCTGCACTGCTGCATGCCTCTAGCACACTGCACTGGTCTGAGAAGAGACCCTCCCCAAATCCCCAAATGCAGTCAAATTGACCCAGTATTTATCATAGGTTTGGCCCTGCAGTTCCTTCACCTCATAGCAAGTCTGCCTACACAGGAGTCTATGTTGCTACATGCATCAGGCTCTGAAGCACAGCCAGCTTCATCTCCTCCCCTTCCATTCCTGGGGCACTGCCTCTGCTGCCCTCTCAGCTACCTAGGAGGCACATCGGTGTGTTCTGGCACTCCAGTACTTTGCACGTGCTTTAACACACCCTTGGGGGAGCATTAGGCAGTTATGTCAATTCACCAACAGGCTTAAGGGGGGGGGGGGGGGGGGGGGGGAGGGAGAGCAGGAGTAGGACGGAATAGATTTTAGAATTGGCACTGCCCCTCCTCTTTCTAGCAGCTTGAAAGTGCCTGGATAGTTATGACTTTCTAAGCTTCTGATCTTCCCATACCTGAAGAAGCTACTGTGCATCTACTGAACTAGCAGTAGGTAGCTACTTCTAGCCTGTAGATTTTAGCCCATGAGGGTTCTCCCTTTGGCCCCACTGATGGGCAGGACTTGGGAGATTTAAAAATAAAACAAATCTGCTCCATCCAGAAGCTGCAGAGGCAGCAAAGAGTTGCTTGTGCTTTATAACAGACTATCTACAAAGCTTGCCTTTATCAAGTTGCTTTCATTCCCAGAGCAGCACAATATATCAGACACACTGCACAGAAGGAGCAAGCCAGGAAGAGCTTTTAGAAGCATCCGTCTCCCTTAGGCTCTGAAGTACACACACATCACAACCCATTACATCGAAAAGCAGCGCTGCCACTACGTTTGTCAGTCTTAACTGAATCACTTCCTGAACTGAGCTCCTGCTGTTCACAGAGCATTGCTTTCAAGTACAACCAGCAGAAAGTTTGCCCTTCTGCAATGCTGTCCAGAAGGGACCTTCCTGCTTCCTAAATGATACCACAGCCATGGCTATGGTTACAGACCTGCTGAGATTCCACAGGGCAACAGGGATTAGAAGTCACTGGAACAGGAGGCGAGTGCCTCAGGAGGCAAGTCTTGTTTTAAGACACATTAAATTTAGCACCCTCTCTTTTTTTCTTTTTTAAAGGGCCAGCATGAGATACAGCAGAGGCTTGGTAACAGCACAAAGTAAAAAGTAAACCCACTGTTGAGGACTGTTGTTCTCATGAACACCAAGCAAAACTAAGTTGTCGTGTTAGAGTTTGCAAAAGCTTCTGAACTGCAGTTTACATATGGTGTGTGTATAAAGAATCAACTCCCATGAACACCCCTGCCTCATAATCCTTTAGGGTACCCTTAAAGTTTCTAGTTCAATTTTCTCTTACTTTTAACTAAACAGCCACTGTCTCCTAAACAACTGATTCTGGCTCATTCCCCCCTCCCCATTTTCAGTCTAAGCAATATTCTAAAAAAAAATTAAAAAAAACAAATGTACTATGGGACTAGGTTCAGAATTAAAAACCCAATTTAACCTGGAAGTTTTGCCTCCCCTATTATTTCCAAGTTAAAACAAAAAATAATTATTTAAAAAACCCCACTGAAATCACAAGAAATATTATCCGAGTTTTAAAGAACTCTCCGACAGTTTAGACGATTATGCTAATGTATGTGACAAATAGAAAATAAAATGGATAATTGTATTATTGTTCTTGTGGAATAAGATGCAAAACAGAAAATAAACACATCTACATTTAAAGTTAAATAATCACACATCAGGTGCTCTTCACTCAGGCTGCTAAATTTAACAGGAGTTTTAAAACTGACCATATTTCTTTAAAACAGCCTTGTTCTACTAATATGGACCAAAATTAAAAACCATTTCATAAAGAATAAAAGACTAGACCTAGAAACATAATAAGAACAGGAAAGAACTAGCTGGTATACTAAATAAATCTATTCCAGCAGTTTCTTCAAAGTCTTTCTGAAATAATCCCACATCCAGGAATGAGCCTCTAAAGTGCGTTCCATACAGCCCCTCTATCATCAAGTCTGTTACCACAGTAAGCAAAATTGAGCAGTGTTTTCTACTCATAGATTCATAGATGTTAGGGTCGGAAGGGACCTCAATAGATCATCGAGTCCGACCCCCTGCATAGGCAAGAAAGAGTGCTGGGTTCAGATGACCCCAGCGAGATACCCATCTAACCTCCTCTTGAAGACCCCCAGGGTAGCAGAGAGCACCACCTCCCTTGGGAGCCCATTCCAGATTTTGGCCACTCTAACTGTGAAGAAGTTCTTCCTAATGTCCAGTCTAAATCTGCTCTCTGCTGGGTTATGGCCATTATTTCTTGTAATCCCCAGGGGCGCCTTGGGGAGTAAAGCCTCACCAATTCCCTTCTGTGCCCCCGTGATGAACTCATAGGCAGCCACAAGGTCGCCTCTCAACCTTCTCTTGCAGAGGCTGAAGAGGTCCAGGTACCCTAGTCTCCCCTCATAGGGCTTGGCCTGCAAGCCCTTAAGCATACAAACGGCCCTTCTCTGGACCCTCTCCAGGTTATCCACATCCTTCTTGAAGTGCGGCGCCCAAAATTGCACGCAGTATTCCAACTGCGGTCTGACCAGCGCCCCATAGAGGGGAATTATCACCTCCTTGGTTCTGTTCATCATGCATCTGCTGATGCACGATAAAGTGCCATTAGCTTTTCAGATGACTTCGTCACACTGATGACTCATGTTCATCTTGGAGTCCACTAGGACTCGAAGATCCCTTTCCGCTTCCGTGCCACCAAGCAGGTCATTTCCTAGGCAGTAGGTATGCTGGACATTTTTCCTCCCTAGGTGCAGCACTTTGCATTTCTCCTTGTTGAATTGCATTCTGTTGTTTTCTGCCCAT